TTTTTTAGCTAACTCACCTTCAGAAACATTCCAAAAGAGTGAAATAAAATGCACATACATTATTAATTAAGTTTATATTAGTGATCTCTATTATGAATGCATCTAGGCACATTTGAGTATAAATTATGGATTGAGAAAAAGTACACAGGTTAGAGCAGCCCAAGATCCTGAGGTATAATGCATTCCATGTGGCCCGTGGCCTGCTTCATCAAGAGGCCAGTCCCACTGAAAGCTGACTGAAACAGTGCTTTCACAGCTTCTGACTACAAGAAGTCAGAAGGCTACATCCTAGTTCAGTCTTTCTCAGTCTCAGGCCTGTTTATTATTCAGATTGAGATTTGAAATGTCTGGACGGGTGCCTGGGTGGCTCAGTCAGTTAAGCCTCTGACTGCTGACTTCAGCTGTGGTCATGATCTCAGGGTCATGGGATCAAGCCCTGTATCCAACTCTGTGCTCAGTGCCAAGTCTGCTTGTCCCTCTCCTCTTTCTTTCGCAAATAAATAAATAAAATATTAAAAAAAAAAAAAAGTCTGGAGTGCTTCATATAAAGTCATTCAAATAATCCTGAATCACCAGAGCTGATTTAGTTTTATTGCATCTCCAAGACACCATCAGAGTTGACCTCATAGCAACCCGTGGTAACACTGATTTTCTCCAAAGGTATATGTCAGGAAAGGCACAGGCTTTAGGTGTGTGTCTTCTGGACTTAGTGAGGCACTACCGATGGCACCTAACCAAATACAGAAGAGGAAGGCACAAGGCCTGGACTCAAGTCCACATATGGCATAAACACAGGAATGTGTCAGCAGAGGCCATAAGATTCCAGGAGGCTGCACGGGAATTATGTGAGATAAGGTACCAATAGCTTCCTCACCGACTCTGACAACTTCCTAACAGATGCAGACAGATGGAGGAGGTGAGCTTTACCTGCCCCAAAGAACACTCACCAGAATTTTTGCCCTAAGCAACAGAGTAGCCTCCCCTGCCAGTTCCTGCCTCTACTCTCTCCCTTCCAATTCCTTCCCAAGAAGTCAGAACAAAGGTCATCCTTTGATTCCTCAGAAGTAGTGATCACGAGACGACAGCACGGTGTCACCTCTTAGGGTCAAATTCCGGCCCTAATTACCTCCCACCCACATTGCTGCCCTAGTTATTACCCGACCCCTGTCCTGCTCCTCTCTGACTCATCCTGCTCACGTTTAAGCTTCCTAAAATTGTGCTTTGATCATGCTCTTCTAGAACCCCACGATGCACAGACAATGAAGTTCAAACACAGGGGTTGCCCAGAATGTATTTTGCCCCATCTCTCTTTCCAGCTCTGGTACTTCTCTCTCATGGAAATCCCCACATCCAGTCAAGTGATTCTCAGTACTTCTGTTTATTCCACTTGTCATACCTAACTTCTGCTGCCTATTGCATTCCTGCCAGCATTTTATTTTATTTTTTTAAGATTTTTAACATGTATCCACTTGAGACAGAGAGAGACAGAGCATGAGCAGGGGGAAAGGCAGAGGGAGAAGACTCATCTCTGAGCAGGGAGCACAGCGCCCAACACAAGGCTCTATCCCAGGACCCTGATATCATGACCGAAGCAGATAGAAGATGCTTAACTGACTGAGCCACCCAGATGCCGCATTCTGGCCAGAATTTTAAAGACCAACCCAAACCCATCTTTTCTGTGAAGCAGTTATCCCCCATCCACCCTATGGGGATTCAGGGAGGGAGGTGCAGGGAGGAAGGGTAACACTCTCTGTTCTCTAAATCCCTATAATGCATAAGCTATATGTCATGTGTAAATATCATTCATTCTTTTACTCAATAAAATACATTCAGATGTCATGGGCCAGGAGCTATTCTAGACCAGCTGATAGAGCCCCCAAATAAGTCAAGGTACAGGAAGGAAAGGAAAGGAAGAGAAGGAATTACCACTTATTGTTGGTTCTAAGCAGATGACTGTCCCATCTATCTCCATGTCAGTTTAATTCACCCTCCCAGCTCCACAGGTAGCTACTGTTATTGTCACTTTTCAGTAAGAAATTGGAGTCTCAGAGAGAGAGTTACACCATCTGGCAAAGATGACCTGGTATGTTCTCTTTTATTTTCTACTGTCCCTATCCCCTCTCATACTCTCTGCCCACCTCTCCCTTGCTCTGTCCTTGGGAGGCTGATCTCTGCAATGTGCGTCTCCCAAGCCCCTGCCCAAGCCCAGCGGAGCTAAGAGAGCACTCCCCCCACTCCCTTCCTGCCTCCGCAGGTTCTGGCTGTGCCCTCACGCCTCAGTCACAATTCTTATGAAAGTTTCTTTCATGGCCCCAGTAGTTCTCACCAGGATCCAGTAGGTCCAGTGCCGTCTGCTGCCTGTTCAGGCCAGGAGTGGGTAGGTGGCTAGGCTCTGCCTAAAGGTTAGCAAAGCATCTTAGCCCTGTCCACACCTCTGTAAATAGTCCTTTCATTAAACTCTCCTCAGTTAAACTCTCTTAGCATGCCACCTGTTTCTTGCCAGACACACAGAGCCAAACTTGAACCCATATCCATTTTCTTACAGAGCCTGATTTTTTTCTCTTGGATAACTGCTATATAGGAGATCTATACAAAGTTCTGAAGATCAAACCAAAAAAAGTATCTCACTATGATAGGACAGACCGGACAAGACTTTCCTGAACAAGTTGCTTGATCATGAGTCAGTCTTAAGAAGTCAGTTGTAATTCACCAGGCAGACAAAGAGAGAAGCTAGGCTGGGGCACCTGGGTAGCACAGTGGATTAAGCCTCTGCCTTCAGCTCAGGTCATGGTCTCAGGGTCCTGGGATCGAGCTCCGCATCCAGCTTTCTACTCAGCAGGGAGCCTGCTTCCCCTGCCCCCTGCCTGCCTCTCTGCCCACTTGTGATCTCTGCCTGTCAAATACATAAATCAAATCTTAAAAAAAAAAAAAAGAGAGAGAGAGAGAGAGAGAGAGAAGCTAGGCATTCAAGGACAAACTGGATACCAATTTCAAAGTCAAATAGGAATACATCTTATTACCCAAGGTGCTCACATACAGTGCTCACGAGAGAGTAATGGTGGTTGATGGTTTCTAAAGTGTGATGATAACCACTTATCCAACCTGAACCCCGTGGGGAGATTAGAAGCAGCAAAGAGTTAGCTAGCTTCTGAGCGAGAAAACCAACGTGCCTATTTACCCTACCCTCAGCGGATCCCCATCCCAGAAGGTAAAGCCAACTCTTCAGCATAACATACAATCCCTTGGTGATCTAGCCCTGCCTGACCCAGCTGGCCTCATCTACCAGCACCACCTCCAGTTCTTGCTGAGTACGCCAGACCTTCCACATCTCTGTGCTCTTGTACACGATCTTCTCATCAGAGATACCTACCTCCACTTTCCACCTGATAAACTCATCTTTCAGGACTCATCCTTGGCGTCTGCTTCTCTATAAATCTTTCTGGCCCTCTACAGTGCTTCCCCGGTGCCTTGTTCATAACTGTATAATAGCATTTTCAGAACACAGACATGCATCTCATGTACTTCTTTGCATGTCGGTCCACGGACTCAGCTGTCCTAGAGGCCATGTACTACAGGAAGGTAGCAGAATGGACAGCCAAGAAGCTAGAAGCAAGCTGCCTAGATCCAAACCGTAGAGTCTGCCTCTAACAGCTAGGAAAACCTAGGACTGTTATTTATACTCTCTGAGCCACTGTTTCATCATTCAAAAAATGGGAATAATACCATTTACCTCATAGGGTTGTTAAGGGGGTCCTGTTATACAGTGAGCTCTCAAGAATCATCAGTTATGAATATGTATCTGTGTATCCCTTATTTCCTATATAAAAAAGCTTATTATGTTTGTTGAATGAATAACTTTTCCTACCACCTCATAGTAGATACCACATAAATACCAAATTCTACATAGCTTGTTTCCTTAAATTGTGAAAAGAAGACTCTCATCTTGAAATATGAGTTTATTCTACAATTGGTCAAAAACATGTAGGACCTTTCCTGTAAGGGAATTTAGCTTCTTGCCATTGTCTCTGGCCAGTGCACCAAGTTAGACGTTCTCTTGGCCTTCTAGCAATCTCCACTGTGCCTGGGGCACAGTTACTTCCACAGAAGGGCAGTTCTGTTGTAATAATTTACAAAAACCTATTATCAAGCCAAATAATAATGGTTCCCCTAGGTTAGCATGAGAAATGCTCCCCAAAACATAGCAATGAACCACAGGGAAACCTCCTTTTAATGCTAAATCAATGTAACATTATTGCAGTTACAAAATGCTTTTGAGAATGTTTTACAGTGGCATTTCCTAAGCCCCAAATCCTTAACCATCACAACCTTGCATAAGAAGTCCATGGGGGAGGAACCGAACCAAGAAAAAATATCAGAGCACGTAGAACAATGTGGTCAGGCAGTGGAGACCAGTGAGCCCGACTTTCCCAGGTAAGGCAGCACTGCAGCCCACAGCAACACCAAGCACTTGGGCAGAAAAGGGCAACGCTGCTTGCTGCCCTGGTCCAGAACAAAGGCCACAGCCAAGAAGGCTAGCACCCTTGTCACCCTGGAGGGCTATAGACCACAGCATTGGCCTCGGGGGCCCGAGAGCCACATCCCAGCAGGGCTCAGCTACTGGCCCAGACCCCAGCCTTAACCTTCCCTCCTCTGCTTCTCTTCTGTCTTGTTAACCCTCTTGACCAACTCTGATCTCACCATTCTGGCCCCTCGGCTTGCGGACTCTGCAGCCCCTGCTCTAACCCTCAACCCTGCCTCTAACGGGGCTCAGAATTCACCCGTTTTTAAATCACCCCGTCTGCAGCGACAGCTCTAGCCTCTTGGACAACTCTCTGGCCCGGCGCTTTCTATGGAATCACACTCCTTCCTGGGATGTGTATGGGTTCAGGGCACTGGCCGAGGATAAGGACAGAGCAACCTGACGATCTCATCTGACAATTTTCTAGAACGAAATGAACTACGCCATGGATTTAACATTCTTATAAAAGTTCTGTACTCACAGGCCTTCTGGTTGAAGCACCTTGGACGGAGTGATAGAATTCTGGCTGGACTCGGCTGTTTCTCTTGATTCTTCGTTTCCTCACGGAAATCTCTTGCTCACTCTGGTGGTGAACCTCCACCACAGGCTTGGCTTCTTCCAGGCGAGCAGCCGCGGCCGCTGCAGCTCGTCTTCTGAGATGCCGAGGGCTCGCTCTGAATCCCTGTGATGGAAAACAAACCCACACAAATCCAGATTTGTATTGAGTTCGTTTCTGGTGAGTCTGTGGCGCTAATTCTACAAAGAGCTCCTAAAGTCACCCAGCTCAGTGAGATCATTTACATTCCTGAAGGGAACATGGATGTAGAAGGAGGATCAAGATTAAAAAATGCTTTTAAGGGCGCCTGGGTGGCTCAGGGGGCTAAGCCTCTGCCTTCCGCTCAGGTCATGATCTCAGGGTTCTGGGATCAAGGCCCGCATCGGGCTCTCTGCTCAGCAGGGAGCCTGCTTCCCCCTCTCGCTCTGCCTGCTCCTCTGCTTACTTGTGACCTCTCTCTCTCTCCCTCTCTGTTAAATAAATAAATAAATAAAATCTTAAAAAAAAAAAAAAGCTTTTAATTCAGTAACAATATTTAAAAAAAAAAACAAAACAGCAGGTGAGCACATTGCTTTACTTATATGTATATACATCAGACCGCATGTGAAGGAGGGTATTTCCACTTAGGCATGAAGCATGGTATAGGAGCAGGGCTGAATACTGTGACGTGGCAAAGTGTCACTCTATGTTCCTGAGAGCAGACTCTGAAGGCAGGAAAGCAGGAAGGTAAAGCAACATTATAAAACACCAAAAAGTGAAGATTCAAAACTAAATGGAGGCAATGCCATAAAGAAAAGAGTACAAGTTCGGTTAAACCATATTACACAGAGTGCCTGGGTGGCTCAGGGGGTTAAGCATCTGCCTTCAGCTCAGGTCATTATCCCAATGTCCTGGGATCGATCGAGACCCGCAGTGTGCTCTCTGCTCAGCCTGATTCTCCCTCTCCCTCTGCCCCTCCCCCTGCTGGTGCTCTCTCTCTGTGCCAAATAAATAAAATCTTTAAATAAGTAAGCCATATTACACATTTGGGAATATATGATTTTGGAAAATCTTGAAGAATCACATAAAATAGTCTCTGTCCTCAGGTAGCTTACAATTTCCCAAAGAGCAGCAGTTCTTGTATACACTGACCTGTGTGATTAAGAGTTAAAGTGGGCAGTTGAGGACACAGTGCCCGCAGATCTCAGAGAGGGAATCAATGAATGTAACCGAAAATAGTCTATATTTGGCTTCGATGTGTGGGTGGCATTTGAAGAATGAATAGAATTTATATTCCAGTCAAGGGAAACAACATAAGGAATGAATGAATAAGTAAAATAATGGATGGGGGATAACATATCCAATATATCCAATATATCCAACATCCCCAATAGGAAACATTATTTTGTGACATACTAGGATAAGCATATAAGCTATGCATGAGGTACAGTGGGAAATCAGAGGGTATAGGGTGTTAAAGGCTCCAAGGGGGGCTTCAGTGTGGTTGCGGGTCTTCTGACCCTTTTTTAAAGTAGACTCCACACCCAGGATGGATCCTAAAGTGGGGCTTGAACTCATGACCTTGAGATCAAGACCTGAGCTGAGATCAAGAGTCAGATGCTTAACCAACTGAGCCACCCAGGGGCCCCAGGGGTCTTCAGACTTTAAAAGATATCTGAAAAAATTTTTAGACTGCGTAAAAGCATAAAAAAATGAAGAGAAAGAATTTCAGGGGGAGAAGCAGTATGAGATACTGAGAGAGTAATGTGCACATGGGAATTCCCACCGAGGGACATGGAAGAAGGTCTGGAGTCTGATAATGGAGACCCCAAATACCAGGCTGAAGGACAAGAAAGAGGAGAAAAAAGACAAAAGTAGGGTGTGACCCACAAAGTCAAAAGAGCACTGAGGTCAACAGAAATCAGTAAGGAGGAAATGCAAATGGACGTGGCAAAACTGAGGTCACTCTTCGGTGCTTTTCTCTCATCCCCAAACACACGGGCCTGTTCCCATCTCTCCTCTGTGTGCAAGCACAGCTGGAACCTCTTCACCCAGAATAGTGTCAGAAGATCCCCACCATTCCCACATAATCAAGAGATACTACAGCAGCTGCCGGAGAAGAGGATTAGGAAGAGGGAGCTGGGCCAATCCCTAAAATGCCTTCTAAGTGGAGTTAGGACCAAACCATCAGAACCAACACCACGTGGGGCTGCCTTTTAAACACGCACATTCCTGGACACCCCTCCCAAACACACACGCGGTGCACACTCTCTCTCTACTCTGCTTCCTTCTGAATTAGACTCTCTAGCTGTGAGGCCAAGAGGGTCAGTTTTTGGCTTGGGTTTGGGGATTTTGGGGGGGAGGTTGTTCTCCTTTTCCCCTTTTATTATTTATTTATTCGTTTATTTTAAAGTTTTTTTTTTTTTTTTTTTTTTTTTTTAAGAAACAGAGAGAGTGCATGAGCGGAAGCGGCAGAGGGAGGAGGATAGTGGGAATCTCAAGCCGACTCCATGTCAGCGCAGGCTCCATGTTCAAGCTCACAACCCCGAGATTATGACCTGAGCTGAAACCAAGAGTCCAACGCTCAACTGACTTCACCACCTCTTTAATTTTTTTATTTTTGTCGTAGTATAGTTGACATACAATGGTCACACTAGTTTCAAGTGTGCAAAGAACCTCTTTTTAACAATCTCCTCTGGTATTCCTGTGCTGCAAAGATTCAGAACCTCCAGGAGTCAGAGCTCAGTCTTACCACTAGGTGGCACTAACTTCCACATCCCCTACATTCTTTCCAGCTCAGAAAGTGTGCTCTGGTAGAATTAACCAAGTATTTGCTGGTATACTAGCTCCTGTCATGCTGGGGTGAGGTGAGTACATGTCTTTGGTAAGAAGTAGATCCTCCTTCTCTTGTGTTCCTATGAGTAATAGGCAACGGAATTTTGTTTAACTTGTATTATTACCTATATTTCTTACTGGCCTACAAATTCTAAAAACACTTGGGGGAGGGGGGACTCCATAAAACTCCCTTAATGTGATGCCCTCAAAAAAAGATCAAGATCCAAACAGGTTGGTGCAGTCCTTCTGGACAGCAATAGCTCAGGAAACCTGCATCCTGAGAGTAGAGAGTATCTACTCTCAACAGATTCTACTAAGTGTGGAGGTACTTAAGGTACTACATTACTTGTGATAATAAAAATTAGAAACAATTTAAACCATCCTTCTTTCCCTAAATTTCAGTCACTTTCTTTACGCTTTCTTTACACATTCACATTTTTTTAAAGATCTGAGCAGCACCATGTAAGCCTCTGTGGTTTCTATTATAGCTAAATACACTGGCACTATTTTTAAACAACTTTTTATAAACATTACAGTATATAGTACACAGACCGCAGCCAAACTATCTGGGATCGACTACTGCCTCTGTCACTTCTTAGCTGTATGATCTTGAATAGTTACTTCATTTCTTCATTTGTACTATGGTGATGGAAACTAGGACTACTTTCATAGGGCTACGGAGATGAATAAATGGGTTACCGTATACACTTAGAAGTGCATCTGGCATGGAGTGATACATATGTGTTGGCTAGGGTTATTATGTATTTCACCTGTATGAATAAAAGATATTCTTTTTTTAAGGATTTCATTTATTTATTTGAGAGAGAGAGAGAGAGACATGCAGGCACGCAGAGGGAGGGGCAGATGAAGAGGAAGAACAAGCAGCCTCCCCGCTGAGCCCGGAGGCTGATGTGGGGCTCAATCCCAGCACCCTGAGATCACGGCCTGAACTGAAGTCAGGTGCTTAACAGACTGAGCCACTGCTGCCCCATAAAAGCTATTCTTTTTTTTTTTTTTTTTCAAGGATTCTATCTATCTACTTGGCAGACAGAGATCACAAGTAGGCAGAGAGGCAGGGAGAGAGAGAGGAGGAAGCAGGCTCCCCGCTGAGCAGAGAGCCCGATGCGGGGCTCGATCCCAGGACCCTGGGATCATGACCTGAGCTGAAGGCAGAGGCCTTAACCCACTGAGCCACCCAGGTGCCCCTTTTTTTTTTCTTTAAGATTTTATTTATTTATTTGACAGAGAGAGATCACAAGTAGGCAGAGAGGCAGGCAGAGAGAAAGGGAGAAGCAGGCTCCCTGCTGAGCAAAGAGCCTGATGTGGGGCTCAATCCCAGGACCCTGGGATCATGACCTGAGCCAAAGGCAGAGGCTTAACCCACTGAGCCACCCAGGCACCCCACATAAAAGCCATTCTTAGAGACAAAAGCATGTTATTAATCAGATATAAAAGGAAGATGTGCCACGCCACAGGTGTGCCTTACTGACAGATACACATGAGTACTGTTGAGATACCAGCCACCCCTGACCATCAGGAAAGAGAATTCTTTGCTCCAGAGAATCCGGAGCATTTACTCTCTAAAGACTTAATCTAACCTGGGCTCGAACACAAGCTCTATCATGCAGTAGGAAAGCAAATTACTTCTCTGTGCCTAAGTTTCCTCATCGGTCAAATACATATACTAATACCTCTCTCATGGAGTTATGATGGTGTTTAAATAAGATAATCCACATTAGGTACTCACAACAGTACAAATATAACAATAAGTAAAAAACAAATTATCACCGTTATCATCACTATTTCATTTCCTAGATGTTGCAGCAGCAATTCACCCGTCAGGGGTCGTAGAGTTATGATTACAGACACATCAGCCACATGGAGTCATCACTGGGCAGCCACCTGCTTATTTTCCTAAACTATGTACAGAATTATAGGCCCTAGTTTTATTGTATTTGCTTGTCTTAAATGCTATATTTAAAAAGCCTTTGGGGTACCTGGGTGGGTCAGTTGGATAAGCGACTGCCTTCAGCTCAGGTCATGATCCTGGAGTCCCAGGATCCAGTCTTTCGTCAGGTTCCCTGCTTATCGTGGAGGGTCTGCTTCTCCCTCTGACCTTCCCCCCTCTCATGCTCTCTCTCTCTCTCTCTCTCTCATTCTCTTGCTCAAATAAATAAAATCTTTTAAAAAATAAAAATTAAAAAAATATGAAAAAGCCACAACCTGATAGAAGAAAATTTTATTTTAAAACAGTAGGTTTTTACAGATGTTAACAGGACCTGATCGTGTCAGTATAATGTCCATTTCTCTAT